CAAGGGCAAGTAGTGAGGATTGGCTAGGGTGCCAACATTAGAGATTTTAATAACCATATCACACTTGTCTTCTCTCATTTAAAACAACTAGCTTATAAAAATAAAAGGCTAATGGTTTCTACATAGGTAGTTCTAAAAACTATAAAAACATAAAACTTCCAATAGATAAACTTTACAAAACAGATGGATAATTCACAAAAAATATATATAACTAGTCCTGAAAATGGCTAATTATTTGCTTCTTATAATATGGTAGAATGACAACATATGATTTCTGAGATTGTTGTTTCATAATGGCTCTGCTGCTTCCTTTCTTGCTCTCCCTGGACACTTAATCTAGAGCCGGCCAGCTGCCATTTCCTAAGGATAACTAAGTATTTTCATGAGCACTCCAATCAACCCACTGGATGGCTGCAATCCTGGCTGACATCTCATAAGAGACTCCAGAAGCACACAGCTAAGCTGCTCTTCAATCATTCTTTGCTGTTTTTTCTTTTGAGACACAGTCTCATTATGTAGCCCTGGTTGGTCTGGAACTCACTATATAGACCAGGCTGGTCTAGAACTCACAAAGATACACCTACCTCTGCCTCCCAAACGCTGGGATTAAAGGCAACTCCTTAATTCTTAACCACTAGAAAGTGTGACATGTTAAGCAACTAGATTTTATAACAATTTGTTAGGTAGCAATAGGTAACAATACCAGATGCTGAAAAGGGTGTAGTAAAACTGAACTTCTCATATACTTATTGTAGAAATGTACATTAGTGTAATATTTAAAATAAATTCATGTTAACATTAAAAGAAATAACAAAATATACTCCACAGATACGTAAAACAGAAAAACTACCTGGGTGAAGTGCCACACACCTGTAGTCCCAGTTACTCAGGAGGCTGAGGCAAAATGAGATCATTTGAGCCAGGAGTTCAACGCTGGCTTGAACAAAAGAAGCAATGCTTCTCATAAAAAATTAAAGCATGGAAGCATGTGTACATGCATGTGTGTGCAAAAGTCAGTCAGGTGTTTTCTTCAGTTACTGTCTCCCCCTTAATTTTTGACTCAGAGACTCTCAATGAACCGAGAGCTCACCAATTCAGCTAGACTGGCTGCCAGTAAGCTATAGGGATTCACCTGTTACCACCCCACCCTTTGACACTGAGATTAACAGATGCATACTGTCACATCCAACTTTAACATGGGAGCTGGGGATCTAAACTCAGACCCTCATGCTTACACAATAAGCACTTTACATTCATCTCCCAAAACCCACAAAATCGTGGCATAGCAAAACATTCAGCATACTTTTACTTACAATAGTTCAAATTTAAAAAGAAGCTAAATGTCTTAAAATAAAATGTATATGCATAGACAAACTTAAAGTCATTAAAATTAGATTATACAAAAGCAGTTTTCCACAGTGACATCAAAAAGTAAATAATTACTTGGGACACTCAAAGTTCATTTTTAAACATGCATTACAAACCATCAAAAAAAGGGCCAGTAAGATGGCTCAGCAGGTAAAGGTACCTGCCACCAAGACTGGCAATCTGAATTCAATCCCTGGAACTCATATGGTGAAAGGAGAGAACAAACTCTAAGTTGTCCTCCGATCTCCATATATGTGCCATGGCACTCATGCATGGGCAACACACACAGTAAGTTAAATACATGTTTAAAATTTTTTTAACTACCAAAAAGGCCAGGTGTGGTGGGGGGTACCTGCAATCCAGCTACTTGGGTGACTGAGGGAGAACAAGTTCGAGACTTGGCTTGGCAATTCAGTAAGATCTTGTCTCCAATTTTAAAAAAGGAAGTGTCGGATGTAGCAGAATGATAGAGTACTTGCCTAGGACATGAACAAGGCGCTCAATTCAATTCTTAGTCCCAAGAAAAAAAAAAAACCTAAAGCACATTAACATTTTCACTGTTTTCTTTTGTATGTTACCTAATTTTAAACATGTCACCTAATTTTATGCTTCTAAAAATAAAAACTCTATAAACCAGATTACGAAAAATATGATACTAAAATCTGCATAAGCATCTTCTTACAGAGTTCTTCTCAAATAAGTGAGAAAAATCTCTAATAAAAACTGGTTTATGACTAGGGTTCTAAGTGTACTCACCCAAAAGAGAATTTTCTGGCTTCCAAATAAATCTGGTTGATCAATTCTCGAGTTGGTGCCACAATAATGCACTCTGGTTCCTGTAGTTCTTTAAAGCGACTGGCAGTTATTCCATCACGCATCATATGAGCCAAAATAGGCAAGAGAAAGGCTGCCTAGAAGGTAAATGCCTGATTCACAAATTTATAATGTATCACTTTGTCCCTGCAAAAAACTAGTCCTAATTATTTTATAGCCTTGAACATGTCCTTCCATCTTGCTGATAAATTTACAAACTGAATTTAAAATATTTTTTATTCCATGTAGTTAATATTTAGAACTTCAACATAACATTAACCTAACAAAATAGTTCAGTCTTTTAATAAGCACTCTAGGTGTGGTGGTACACACCATTAGTCCCAGCACTTGGGAGGCCAGAGGCAGACAGAGCTCCCATTTCAAGGCCAGCCTACTCTACATAGTAAGTTATAGGTCAACCGGGACTACATAGTGAGACCCTGATACACAAAAAAAGCAGCAGCATATCCATGTATCCTGAATAGAGCAACATTATTTACACAGAGGACTGTAGATAAAATCTGGTATAAATTGTTGAATTTTAGAGTGATTCCATATGTGTCTTTAGGACTAATAATACAATTATCACAAGTAGAGCAAAAGTGGTCTTCAGGCAGCACACAAATTTGGAAATCATCATTTAGAATTACTGAACACCTCATATTGAAGTTAGGTTAGAAAAGAGAAATTCTGTGCTATGGCGTTCTCATTTAAGCAAGTAAGAATTATTTCTTAGCCTTTTGGCTAAGATCAGGTAAAGTAAATAAGATACTTAACTAAATCTACCTCTAAAACCATGTTTAGGTCACGTATCAGCTGTTATGTCATTCAAGTCACCCATTTTCCCTTAAATTCTACAATGGAGACCATTTGAAAACAAAACATGGCATGAACCAGGACACTATAATTCTAAAAATATTCCCATCTCATGGAACCCTATGTAATAAAGCCCACAACTGGTCAATGTACAGAGAATCTAAGAGACTGTGGGTCTTCCCTAAATGGGACCGCTATCATGCCCTCTCTTCCCAGGGTCAGGCTCAGGGATCATTACACAAGAGAGGACAGAAAGATAGTAGGCAGAGGTGGTGAATAAATAAATACAAGGAAACTTTTCTGACACAACAGGGCATTTACACATATGAACCCACGGAGCTTGTGACAGCATGCTTAAGATCTGTACAAGCTCAAAACAGAATCCCAACATGGAGGTGGGAGACCAGCACAAAGCCACACCCCCAGCTGAGGAACTACTGGCAAGTTATAGCTGCTGGGAGAGGGAGAGTCAGTTTTAAAGGTGTGATAGTTAGGTTGACAATGCTCTGGGGGATGAACCTACACCCCAAAGTATTTGGGGAATAAAACTCATACTCCATAGGCTTAAAATGTTATAAAGAACATTAAGTAATGGGAGTAGGAAGATGGGGGCAGATCTGAGAGGAGATGGGGGAGGGCATCTGAATATGATCAAAATACACTGCATGAAATTCTCAAAGAAACAAAAAATCTAAGCCTTAAGGAAAAAACTGTCAATTCATCTACAAAGGCAAACATCAAAGTAACATCAGAAACAGCAAAAATATTTAGAGACTGAACAATACGTTCTGGAATGACCAGTGGGTCACTGAAGAAATTAGGTAAGAAGTTAAAATTAAAAATTCCTAGTATCAAATAAAAATAAAAACATAACTTAGAACATCTGAAATATAACTCAAGCAGTTTAAGATGAAAGTTTGTAGTTTTAAGTGTTTGCATTAAAAAAAATCAGCAAAATCTGAAATAACATAATGATGTGCCTCAAAGTCTTTGAAAAACAAAAACAAGCCAAACCCAAAAGCAACAAATAGGTAGCAAGAAATAATAAAATTCAGAGAATAAATTAAGTAAAAAGAGACCAACAGACTCATTCAAAGAGTTGGTTCTTTGAAAAACTAAGCAAGATGGAAAAACCCCTAGCCAAACTAACCACACCAGCCGAAAGAGGGGAGAGAACTCCAAACCAATAAAATTAAAGATGAAAAGAGGAATGTTGCAAGAGATTCTGATGAAATCCAAATGATCATTAGGGAATACTCTGAAAATGTATATTGAAAAAAAAAGGGGGTGAAATCTAGACTAAATGGCCAAATTCCTAGACATATATGACCTATTAAAATTAAAATTAATGCAAGGAAGTAGAAATAACTGAAGCAAATCCGTAACAAGCCATGATACTGAAGCAGTAATAAAAAGAATCCTAAGACTAGACCGATTCACTATCTTAACAAACCTTAAGGAAGAGCCAACAGCAGTGTTCTTCAAATTATTACTCGAAAATGAAAGAAAAATGTTCCTAAACTCGTAATATAAAGCTAGTATTAACCTGGTATCAAAAACTGTAAATGTAAGGTCGGTTATAGTGGCATACACCTTTAATCCCAGCACTTGGGAAGCGGAGGCAGGCAGAATGTGTGAGATCAAGGGTAGCCTCATCTACACAGTTTCAAGGCAGCTGGGGCTATAGGAGACCCTGTTATGAAAAAATAAATAAATAAATACATCAAGCTGGGACTAGGGAAACCCTGTTGTTGGGGGACGCACCAGGCAGGCGGGGAGAGAAATGACAACAAATGCTATTGAGGATGAAGGGAAAGGGGAACCCTTATCTATTAAGTGGTGGCAATGTAAAGTGATAGTGCCACTATGACCCAGCTACATAATTACTGGGTATATGTATGTCCTAAGGACTCTAACTTAGCATACCATAGAAAGACATCTATGTTTACTGCTGCACTATTCACAATAGCTAAGAAACAGGATCAGCCTAGATGCCCATTAACAGGTAAAAGGATAAAGAAAATGTAATCTAAGAAACAGAATTTTATTCAACCATTTATAAATAAAACTAAATCATGATACCTGCAAGAAAATGAATGTGACAAGAGGTAATTATATTAGGAAAACAAGAAGCTACTAAGACAAATACATTTTCTCTCATGAGGAGAAATCTAGACTTAATCTACATTTAGTGTGCTGGTGAGACATGAAAAAAGAAAGGGGACCATGAGAGGGAAGGGATCTTACTGGAACAGAGAGGCAGGTAGGAAACAGAGGGTAATAAAATACATGACATGAAAGAAGCAGAATGGGGGACTACCTCGGGGGAAGAAAGCAGACCAGGAAGAGGGAGGACGATGCAATAAAACGATAATAACATAACATATACATGTGGCATAATAAAATCCATTACTTTGCATTCTAACTTTTTTTTTAGATAGCTTCCTCAAGGCAGCTGCAAAGGTTGTATGAAACTATGCCAGATTTCTGGCCTTGCATTTCTGCTTGGACAGGATAACTTTTGTCTTCCTGACTTATTGTGCAGCCTAATACAAGTGTAACTATAACTGACATGTAGAACTACATACTCCTTCCTGAATTTATAGAAATCCGAGAGAATAAAAAAGAAACTACACAGACATTTATAGCACTTAGTTTAAAAGAAAGAAGCACAAAAACTCCAATCAAACCAAAAATTCAGAAGGAAAACCGTGAGTATTTATGACAGGTAATTATAATCTTCTAACCATCAGAAGAAATTCAAACTACTTAGGAAACACCAAAATTCTAAAAAAAAAAAAAAAGTCAACAGTTTGAATATAGGGCAGAATATATTTTGAAAAATGACTTACAGTCTTCCCAGACCCTGTCTGAGCACAGGCCATTAAGTCTCGTCCTGCTAATACAATAGGAATACTGTATTTCTGCACAGGAGTAAGCTTAGTATAGCCAGCTTTAGCTATGTTGTTATTCAATGTCTGACAGAAATTAGCTTCTTCAAAAGTCTAAACAGAAAAACAAGGCAATGATTAAATTCCACATATCAAAGGCTCATCATTTCATCAGCATTTCATTTGAGTGAGATTTAAACTTTGATTCCACTTTACATATTAATCAATATACCCCACTCATAAGTAAATATGTTAGAGCCTATTTATTATGATATGGTAGAAGCATTTCCCAAAGATCTGATTCTAAATATTTCTGCCCCCTTAAAATCTATGATACAGAAAAAAATTCTGATCAGTAACAACAGCTCATTACAAGGATACTTTTTTAATATTTTATTTATTTTTATTTTATGTGTATGAGTGTATTGCCTGCATGTGTGTAAGTGCACTGGTATTGAGCAATGCCCACAGAGGTCAGAAGACGACACTGGATCCCCTGAAATTGGAATTACTGATGGTTGTTAATTGCCATGTGGATGCTGGGAACGTCCCAGGTTCTGTGCAAGAGTAGTCTGTGCTCTTAAGCACTAAGCCATCTCTCCAGTCCCTATAAGGATAATTATTAACAAAGAATAGAGGACTCCTGCAATTATCCTTAGAAAAGCCACTTCCCTAAGGCCTACTTTTCTACTGTAATTAGGATGAAAAACCTTGAATTTCTAAAAAAAGGAGACTTTTTAAGTAAGTGTAAACAAAATTGCATTACAGTATGGGGAGTAGAGATGAAATCCGGCTTTCTCCTTTGGCACAATAATTATACTGAAAATGGTAGACATGCTTCTAAATTTGCAACCAAATTCTAAAAGATACTAAAAGTGAATTTTATCAATTTATGCCATGTTTTTAACTGAAGTATGCCACATATCAATATAGAAACAATTAATACACTGACCAAAATTGCTGGTGGTACATCATGTCCAGATACTTCTACAAGTATGGTGTCGTATTTGTCAAAGTTTATGCCTGTCTGATAATGTGCAAAGATGGAATCCTCATCTTCTGGTGGAGGAGGGGGTATATACATCACTTTTGGTCCTTAAAATTTAAATAAAAAACAAATTACAGAGTAGAAGTAGAAATAAAAGAAAAAGATGAAAATTGACAACTAAGTTTAAAATACTGTAAGAAGTTCCCACTAAATTTTTTTGATCCAATTTTTAAAATTTAACTGTACTCTTAAATACCTTTAGTACAATGTGCTCTCTCTCTCTATAT